GGAGAATTACACACCCTCCCGCTCCATCTCTTCCTCTCTAAATCCTCCCCTTTGGAGAGGGGCCTGACGTGGGGCTGATGCCCAGTGGTGGTGAGAAATCCCACGTCCTTCCAGGCCGACTCCGATGAGCCTGCCTCCAGGAAGCCACCCTGATACCCACACTCTCCTCCCTCCAACCGGAAGTCCCGCCTTTGCCCTCTGAGAGCTGCTGTAACAAAGGACCACAGGCTGGGTGACCTTAATGACAGACAGTGATTGTCTCAGTTCTGGAGGCTGGAAGTCCGAGATCAAGGTGTGGGCAGGGTTGGTATCTTCTGAGGCCTCTCTCCTTGGCTTGTAGGTGGCCGTCTTCCCTCTGTCTCTGTGGCCAAATTTCCCCTTCAGATAAGGACACTGGTCATGTTGGATTAGGGCCCCGTCCTCACGATCTCATTACCTGTGGACTTGCTCCAAACAAGGTCACATTCTGAGGAACTTATCTTCATAACTTTCAGCATATCTTTTTTTTTTTTGAGAGAGGGTCTGTGCACAGTTCAGCCCATAACAGACTCCTACTGTGTTTTGTTAAATTAATTATTTTAAATTGAAGTCCAGTTGCTTTACAATGTTGTGTTAGTTTCTGGGGTACAGCATAGTGATTTATTTATATTTTCTGATGAATTTATCATCTGGGAATGCAAGCTCCTTGTGGGATCAGAGCCTGGATCACAGCTCATATCTGTGTTCTCTGTTGAGCCTGCCACTTTGCACACACTCAGTAAATGAACAAATGAGTCATAAGTCCACATGCTCGTGGACGAACATGGACCAGTGCCAACCCTGGCATGTCTGAGTGGATGCACTGGAGCAGATGACGTGGCCACCCCTGAGGTCAGATTTGACCTGTGGAAAGACTCTACCCAACAAACCAGAAAAAAAGTCTTTCCCATCAGGACCTGAGATGCCATCCTTGGCAAATGGTCCAGGGTCTTGGCGATTCCTGGTTTAACAACCATAATGGGTCCTTCAGGAAGCACAGGTGTTTGGAGGGGAAGGAACCCCTGAAGGTGTGGATGGAGGAGGTGAGGGAAGACAGGCAGGGGAGAGGTAGGTGCCTTATTATAATCATTTCCTAGGTTGGCTCCGACACAAACAATGCCTTATGGTTCCTAACTACATTCTTTTGTTGCTGCCTTTGTTCATATGTAGAAACCACTGATCAAAAACTCCCATTTTATTTTTCTTTGCTTGCGTATAAGCTTAAGGCTCCGGGTTTAGCTATTGTTTGAGATTCCTTCACCTTTACCGAGACAACCCATCCTGTTTCAGCCACTTCAGGGAAGATGCTAAAATGGTGTTCCCATGGCAAAGTTGGACCTTATAATTCAGTGAGATTTAGTAACAGGCAATTTATATCACTTTCCAGAGAACATGAGTCAGTTCCAATCTATCCCCGAAGTGACTTCCAGAGGTTCCCCGTGTGCAGCAAGAACATGTCCCGCGACTCTGGCTGGCTGTGGAGGAATGTTAAGGCTGAGGCATTTTGGACATGGCCTCCCATGACTTTCCGTCATTCCGTTCTGCTCCGGCAGCCTCCTTTTCTATCCCAGCCTCGCGGTGTAAAAGCGCAGTGGAGGACCAGTTCGTTATTAGAATTGAGGGCTGCTGGTCTGTTGATCTTTCTTCCCTATTAATCCTCAGGGTGCACCTGTGCATCCAAATGGTGAAACCCACGGGGCATTTCCATGCAGGCTGGACACCCGCAGCCAGTCCGTGGTACTGATGCGAGGAACCGGAACCCTCCAGTGTTGCCCCCTTGCAGATCCCTCTCTCTGACCTGGCCCTTGGTGGTACAGCTCCTGTAGGTGGTCTGGGGCAGCCGCGACGTCGTCTCCCTGACCACATGCGGGAGATGCCGGCAGCATTTACTTTTGATCAGTAGAAGAGAAAGTAAAGGAGGAATTTTTTCTTTGGGTCAAAAGCTGTACCAATATACTCAATTTTCCATCATTTGCATTTGAACCATCACCTTCATTTTGACCTGATTTTGTCCCCCGACTCTTACTAGTCCGCACTTCTGATCTGTGCTGCACAGAGGCCTGTTTTGAGGCTTCTGGCCCTGACTCTGGATCTGAGATCGAGAAAAGCCTATGAAAAAAGACCAGTCCCCAAGCCCTCTCTCTGGGCTCCGGCTGGATGCCGCCCGCTGTCTGCAGGGAACTTTGAATGGCAGTGGGGATGGGGGGCTGGGCTCCCACAAATGCTGATCTGGGCTTTCACACTGCCCCCACGTGACCGCAGAACCTCACACAGCCCCAGGCAGACATCCAAGGACCAGTGTCTGAGCCCTGCTAAGAACTGAAATGCTAAGAACCAATGCAATTTTTCCCTTCAAAATCAAAAAACAAAAAACACCCCCAAACCCATGAGCGTGCATCTCTGTGTCAGTAGATGTGAAGTAAAATCTAGAGGACTGGAAGTCAAACCAGTGAAGTACTTGTACGTGAGGACTGGTACAAAGTCATTGTCCTGGACCAAACTTGAGTCCAGCTCCTCTGAGCCTGTCCTTGGACACGTCCTCCAAGACAGGCCTGCTGTTAGCAAGAATCTCGTGAAGTAGGTAGGTTTAGCCAGACCCCCACCCTTGATGTCTGATCACCCCCGTTTTGGGATCGGGCCCCTCACTTCCCACCATCCCCTGGTGGGGTGGCGGGGTGCTGGTCACCCTGAGCTGCCCTCCGCAGGACCCCTCCTTCCCCTGCTGTTTCCTCTTAGTCATTCTCCATCCACTGAGCCCACCATGAGCCCTGTGTCTTCGCTATCAGTTCCCACATTTCCTCGTGTGTTTGGAGCCCTATCTCCCTCCCACCTCTTCCTGCTGAGATCGTCCTGAACAACGTCCTCCTTACTGTTTCAACAGGTGTCACGAATCATGCCTTTAACAGCAGGAATATCTATGACTTCCAGTTCCTAAATCCTACATCCTCATCACGTTTGCATTTTTCACATAGATGGGTGTTACTATTTTTAAAAAACCGCTTTCTCATAGTGTAATATTTTGTGTCATAAAACACACCTGTGTGAGTGTGCAAGTCCGTAAGTTTTAGTGCTTTTGCAGAGTTGTGCAACCATCACCACAATCCAGCTTTAGAACATCTTTCATCTACTCCCCCCTGCCCCCAAAACTTCCCTCCTGCTCATTACCAGCCAGCCTTCACTCTCAAGTCTGGCTGCCACTGGAAATTGTTTTTCATGGCTTCTGTTGTTTTGGGGGGATTTTTTTGTGTGTGCATTTTTAATTGAAGTACAGTTGATTTACAGTGTTGCATTAGTTTCATGGGTACACTGAAGTGATTCAGTTATACGTATTACTATTTCAGATTCCTTTCCATTATAGGTTATCGTAAGCTATTGAACATAGTTCTGCTGTGCTGTGCAGTGGGTCTTTGTTGTTTCTCTATTTTATATACAGTAGTGTGTATCTGTTAATCCCAAACTCCTAATTTATCCCTTACCCCCCTCCCCCCTTTGGTAACCATGGTTTGTTTTCTGTATCTGTGAGTCTATTTCTGGTTTGTAAGTAGGTTCATTTGTATCATTTTTTAGGTTCCACATGTTAGTGAAATTGTATGATATTTGTCTTTCTCTGAGTTACTTCACTTAGTATGATAATCTCCAGGTCCACCCATGTTGCTGCAAATGGCAGTATTCATTATTTTTTTATAGTAATTCACATTCTTAGGCTGGGTCCTTTCCCAGTGTGCAAAGGTCAAGAGTTGAAGGGGAAAGGATCACAAAAACCACGTAAGGGAGGGTCTAGATCTGCAGGTGGGAGAGGAATTTGGGAAACAAGTCAGGAAAAGAGGCAAAAGGAAAATCTGAAATCCAGATGGGGCGCCCTGTTGACAAAGAAGAGGGGCGGGGCAGCCTGAGAGCACGTGGTTGGGGGCTAGTGTTTAACACAAGTAGGAAGACACGGTGTGAAAGCACCATGATGGATGTTGCTGGTGACCCCTTTCTTATCTGTCGCACCAGCAGCGGCTTCTCCCCTGGAGGATCTTACTGCAGCCCCAGTCACTTCCTGTGCTTGTCGGGAGCCGGGTGACTTAAACTACTGTCACCGATGTAGGCGGTCCTGCCTCTCTGACACTCCCTGGTCGTAACCACGGGCTCTACGAACACTTCTCTGCTCCTCCTTGCCTGCTGCCTATGGGCCACTCAGTTGGAACCCCTCTCTCTACTTCTCCAACTGCATTTCGTCTTTGGAAGGTTGTCCTCGCTTGGGTTTAACCTGTAATTTCTAGGTGTGTGACTGCGTTCCTAACTCCGGCTCTATAGCTTTCCCATGTCTGCTGTCATGACAGTGACACTGATACCAGCGGGGTCTGACCCTCCTTGCCAAGCTCGGTCCTGTGAGGTGGGCAGTGATAGTACTGACCCTTAAAAAAAAAATGGAGATGCGGGTGGCAAAGTTCAGTGTCACACAGTCATGAAGTGGTGGGAGCGGGAGCAGGTGCAGTCCCCGATCCTGGTGCAGGCCTGAGGGGTGGAGGGCTCACGAGTCAGTGACAGAGTTAAAGGAAAATGTGCTATTATGGGATGTGTGAACTTGGATCAAAAGTGGGGTGCTGGGAACAACTCATAGCAGGTCTGTGGTGTTTGTTCACCCCATGGATTTGGGATTTTAAGAACATAAGAACTTGCGAGGAGTTAAGCTTTCTAAATACATTATATATTCAATATTTTTTAAAAGGCACTGAGATCCTGAATTTGAGATGCAGATAGAGAGTCAAGAGCTTCTGTTGAGTGGTGATTTGCAAAAATATGTCTTCAACATAGTACTTGGAACTCATTTTATGGGTTGAATATCTCTTTAGTCTTATGACCTTGTATAACATTTTGCCCTGAGTTAAGTTAAAAGTTAACAGCAGTTAATATTTCATGGTGAAATATTGGTACTAGGTTAACAGTTACAAAAAAAATTTTTTTTTTCCAGACAGGAACATGCTGGGAACTCAGTGTGAACCAATCAATTCATTGCCGTATTTATTCTGAAGGTTTTATTTTGGAGTCCTCTATTGCAAAATGACACGTTTAATGTTTACAACAGGTATTAGAAATTGAGTTTTTTTTTTAATCGCCACTATTTTAGAGTAAAACTGTAGATAATGTTCCAAACCATCGTCCAAAAAATGCAGAGCAAACTTTTCTGTATATAAACTGTACATACAACAAGGCACTATACACTGAGGGGGAGATATTAAGGTACAGAGGTGGATTCGCATGGATTCTTCAGAGCCCATGCCAGGAAGTATAAATTCTTTGTTCATTTTAGCACCAGAAGCAGCACTCAGAGCGAGGGAGATGCCCCTGAACATGTGTGAAGGTACGTGGCGCTGGCAGAACTAATTCAACAGAAGCGACTCCATCTACCTTTTAATATTATTTTTGACACCAAAAAAAAGCCTTAAAAGTGAATGAATACATATTGCTTCGTTAAATACATATTTGATTTATATGGTGTTTATATAAATATATATATTTTTTAGAATCCACAAACTATCAAAATAACACTTTATAAAGAGAACAGCTTCAAAAAAAAATAGGCATACGGATGCTTTGTTACCATTACCTGCCGGATCTCGTGGAAAGAGTGTTTCTAAAGAGTTCTCTGAAACATTTACAAAATACACAGCTCCAAAACGAGCAGGAGAGCCAGTCATGTCAGGTTTTCAAAAACTCAGATGAAAAAATATTTTTAAAGTACCAGCTCCCCCTGCTACCCCCCTAAGACATCCACTTCCCTGCCCAGCGGTAAGGAAAGTGACAAGGGGTCCTCCAGCATCCCGTCACTTAGAACAGACCCTTCGCTTTCTTCAGATTCACTTGCTTCCAGGCGGGCAGTGCGTTGTACTCGTCGCGTGTCATGTCCAGTGCAAACTGGGAGGGGAGAAAGGGGTGCTCAGGGGCTGAGCCACGGGACCCTCGCATGCACCCCGAGCCCCACTCGAATGCCGTCCCCCACTCGAATGCCGTCCCCCTCGAGGAGGCGCTTACCTCGAAGTCTTCGTCGGTGAGATAAATCTCAAGCTTTAGAGGATCAACTCCCTCAGGCAGTGGCCTGGCGAGGAGGTCGGCCAGTGGGTAAACGGTTTGACAGAGCTTGGCTAACACGTCCTCCACCAGTGTGATCTGATTCGAAACTTCTGTGTCCTAGAGGGGAGGTGGAGGCAGAGAGGAGAACTCCATGTCCTGCAGCTGCACATGCTTCGTCAGTTGGCACCCCAGCCTGGAGGACCCCTCCTGATGCGCTCCCAACTCTTAAATGTCATCTTAGCCACCACAGCGTTTCAAATAAGTCAGGAAAAAGTTTAGGGACTATCACATGAGGGGATGATGGCAAAAGATGATTAAATCTGAAGCTGAAACACCAGAAGAATCCAAATGATGGAATCTGTTTACAAATGTTTAAAACCAGTTAACCTTAAAAGGAATCACCCTACCCCCTAGACCTCATCTCTTAATCCACTGTAGAAAAAGAAGGTAAGAAAATGTATCTAGAATATGCTGGGGCTGAATTGAGTTTTTGTTTTTTTTGTTTTTAACCCCTGTGTGTATTTCATCTGAACAGGTCATTCCAGGTAAATCATCTTCCTCTGTTAACTTAGGACCCCTGACGGGCTGCCTCCTTTGGGCTGGGGGTGTGTTGGGGGAATGATGTTGTGGAAATTCAGCGACATTCAGACTAGGGGTCACCAGGTGGGAGTGGGAGGGGCCAGCACCTGAGACCCAGGGTGAGCGGCTTCGCGGGTCGGCGCCCCGGCTCCTTCACTGGGGAAATGGGCATTATAGTAATAAGGTGCATCATAATGGACTGTCGTGAAAATGAAAGGAGAAGATAAATGTGCAGTGTTGGGAGCAGCGCCTGGCCCTGAGCGGCTCTTAGTGAATGTTTATTATCACAACTTGCTGGCCTGGGAAGCCCGACTGCTCAACTGGCCCCTGGGGATCTGCAGGAAACCTAGGATGTGGTGGTGATGGCTGTCCTTGAACTTGGACTGTGGTAATGGGGTGCTCGTGATCCCTGGAGCTCTGAGGTCTCCCAGGTCACACATTCCTGGTGAACAGAGCCACCTGGCCACGCCTGTCGGCCAGCAGGCTGCCCGAGGCCCCACCCGGTATAGCTCAAGTCCACAGGGCTCCAGAGAAAGGGGTTCGGATCAGCAGCGGAGACTCGACAGGCCCTCCCCGTGGTCGAGCGGCAGCGCAGACCTCCTGTCAAATACCGCCGGGGCTGCCTCCCCAGAGGGGCAGCCCTCCTGCATGGCAAGAAAATCGGAACGGAACAAACCCATTTCCCACCAGACCAAAACACCCTTGGGATTGCTACTGGGGGCATTGCTGAAGACTCACAACTTCAGAAATTCTACATCGCTGTAGTCAGCTTCTTGTTTGCAGTTGGAAAGGATAACATTCTGGCTAAGATTATGTTTTGGTTGATGGCGTTTATGCTAAGTGCCGCCCGAGACACTGGGAGGTCTCATACAAGAAAGACAAATGAGGACTATGCTGTCTTTTCTCGGGAGGGGCTCCCAACATGGTCACTCCCTCAGTTACCTAAGCAGGTCAATTCATCCCTGGCTGATCCTGTGTCGTCTCTGACCCAAGGTTAACATCTGAGACACGGGGCCCTTCTGCAGTGCCTTACATGGACTCAGGGAAGCAACGGATGGCTAGCTAACAGGATGAAGAGACGGCTGCTTTAATTACATACAGCCTCCACGGGGCTTCAGTGTACCTCTGCCTTCGACGTTTTTCAAAATGACCAGAATATTTCCACTGATTTCTCTCTAGGCTTCTCCTCTCCCTGAGCGAGCGGAGTCCGCGTGGACTTGTTAGTGCGCTGTGAGCGAGGAAACGTGATGGATCTTCCCTGCCCCTGGGGAAGGCTGGGCACTCACCATCTCCGTGATTTCCGCGATGTCTTCTCTGTGCTCCCAGCTGGGGAACATGTTGGTGAAGGTCAGGGGTTCCAGACCCGCATGGATAAGGTAAGACTTGGGCGGCGGCTTCTTGACGCTTTTTCCTGCAGCCACACAGAATGCAAACGTCAGCAGACCCAGCGTTGGGCCCGAGGACCCTGTCTGTCTCCGATTTCCCCTGAAATCTTTTCTTCTTTGTTTGCATCTCTTGACTGCTGGCTTAAAGTGGAACTTAGGAGTACTTCCTACCCCATGGGTGGTGTTTACATAAAAGGTTATTTTTATACACGTGACTGCGTAAAATTCCACGGAATCCCCGATTCTAAACTTTCTGAACCTAAGAAAACACTTCATGGGCCCAGAACGGGCGAAAAGCAAGCCCTTCTCTGTGGCTTCTGGGTGGGATGTTTGCCCACCTGGACTCCCCTGGGCGGTCTTCCTGTGACTTGCTATCCCAGGGCTGAGTTCAGTGAGAATGAAACAGCTCACGACAGCCTTTTAGAAGCTACTGTAGCTTACACATTCGGTGGGAAGTTGAGGAAGTTATTGATTATGAAAGAGCTTGTTGAGAGAGAAAATCAACTGTGCCTTCTCAGTGATACTCATCAATGAAGTCTTAACACCTCTGGTAAGAAACTGATCACTGGCATCTTTATTTTATTTAAAAGACCATCAATTTCAGGTGGATAGAAAAACCATGAATTGACTACGGATCTTTCTTTGTAGATAGAACATGAAAAATAATAATGACAGAATGGCTGTAACTGGCCCTCCAGCCCATCTGCGGGCGCTCACTGCTCTCTGACAGGGTGATACTGTGGACGGTGGGGACTGCGTGTCCCACAGCACTATTCATCCTGAGCGTGGGAGGGTCTTCCCCAGGCCTGGCGTCCCACAGCACAGCTCTGAGCCTCAGAATATGACAGAAAACTGAGATTCACGAGTTTGTACTAGTTTGCTGTGGGGCGGGGGTGGGGGGCAGTATAAGGGTAGGGGGTTGAGAGGTACAAACTATTAGACACAAAATAAACTACCAGGGTGTGCTGTACAACCCGGGGACTATGGCAGCTACTTTATAACAACGACAAATGGAGTAGAACCTTTAAAAATTGTCACTAGATTGTGCACCTGTAATTTAAATATATGCATCTGTATATAATACACTATACTTCAATTAGGCAAAGAAAAGTGAAATGTCATTCATGCTGTCAGCTGAGACTATACTAATCTCGACATTAATAAGCCTCAAAACGCCAAAGCCGGCAGCCGGAGGCTGACGTGGCCCCTCACCCTGGCCGGGCGGGGGCTGTGGCCTGGGCCCCGGGGGCGCCCTCACCTCGGCAGTAGCGCAGCACCGTCCCCATGGCGCTCTTCCGGTCCGCGGCCCAGCGGATGCGCGCCGAGCCGGTGATCTTGTTCTCCGTGGGCCACCAGCCTTGCCAGAGGTACACCTCGTGGTGATTGTCAACCAGGAAGAGCGCTGGGAGGGAGACCAGTCCGTCAGAAGCTCTTCCCCAAACCTAATCCATGCTTCCCTCCCTCGGTAGGGCCGGGGGAGAACCCCCTTGGCAGTTCAACTCAGGGCCACAGGGAGGGTCTCCATGAGGTCTGGCCCTTTGAATGTGAAATCAGGAAAAGCCTCTAGGCAGACAGGGGGCGCTGGTGATGCGGGCTCTTTCCTCCCCGAGTCGCCCCTCCTGCAGCCACCCGTCCCATCCAGGCAGAGGACAGAAGACACACATGCCTCCCAGGGGTCAGTAGCACTGCTGAGCCCCAAAGAGCAGATTAAAGGCAGGGAGAGCTTCACTCTTCCCCTCCAGCTCAGCAGGTCCAGGCCCGCCTAGAAGGCCGGCAGGCGCTCTACGTCTGCGGCTCATTTGGGGATAGTTGGGCTTGAAAACCAG